ATCTGGGGGCAGGGCAGAGGCTGAGAACTGGGGATTTGCCAAAAACCACTTTCTGAGTTCACAACTAAAATGAGTTTAGAACCAGAGGGTACTGGCACTTTGCTCAGATACTAAACCACCACTCTAGCCCTTATATTCAAAATCCTAGAAGCAAAACTTAAATGTATGGACACCTGTGGAGTTTTCCTGCCACCAGAGATGCAGCATTTGGAAGCACTGTTTTGACAACTGCTCTGCATATCAAAGGTCAAAGTTTCAAGTTCTTGCATCTTTAGTTAAAAGTTTCAAATATCAGGCAATGGGGAAAACCCTTTTGCAGGAGGCACCAGAGATCTACTGCAAGTCAAAACATATCTACTGACTAGACATACAGCTTCAATGAAAAAAAAAAGGATTCTCATAATTTGAATTGCCTTCTGTTAAAAACACGAAAGGGATAGAATTAAGAGCTGATTACTTTCTTCCAGTATGTTTCAGCATACAACAGCAATTTCTTTTCTCCACTCCTCAAAGTAGTACTGGTTGGGCACAGGAAGCACTGAAAGGAGTTGAAATTTTATTTAAAAATACCCAAGGAAACAAAACTCAGATCTCAGTATAGAAGCCTTTACTTCTATAAAGTGGTTAAGCTGTTCTTGCTTCAATCCTTGATAATAAATTTGGTCTTCCTGCAGCTCCTTTTTTTCCCCCGAGTGTGGTAAACAGGCCAAATTTTTACTCCTCAAGAGAAACCATAAAAACTCTTGTTGGAAACCCAGGAAGGCTCTTCTCCGTACTGACAATACTAGGCAAACAGGCCCATCATTTGAGACTACTGCTGGATAGCTCAGTGGGTTGAGAATTTGATTCCACACTGTGCCTCCTTTATAGAGGCTGGACTCAATGATCCATGCGGTCCCTTCCAGCTCTGCAGCGCTAAGATTTTAAGATCTGATTCAGTCCAACGCAACTTTGTATGTTGCCATATACAACATACAAACAAATCTCACTGGGACACCAATAGATTCCCCCCTTGGCAGAACTAGATCTGGAAATTTTCATATACTAACAGTTCTGATCAAGAGAGACCAAAGCACTATTGTGCCGATGGGTAGAAAGAAGCCAGAACAGGATGGTAATGTTAGCATAGCAGAGTTTTAACTACCTCTCCCCAGTGGATGCCATCTCTGTTTTATAGGTCCCCAGCAGGTGTGGATGGTGGCTATATTTGTGTTTAAGCAACCATGCAAGCCTGTCCTCTTAATTATAGAGCAGTTAGTGGTGGATGCTTGGGTGGAGATTGTCATCAGTCACATGTAGCTTACTTCATTCCAGGATCCGTCATTTTCTGGTGCCTGGGGCATTTGGCAGAAGACACACTTCATTGTGTAAAGGCCTCTTCTTGGTTCAGTTTCAGGTTTTGTTCAACTCCTCACAGCAAGAATGAAAAAGCATTTTGCAGCCAAAGAAAAGTGGCATGCCAGTGTAACTGGAGAGGCTGCTGCACCCAACTCTCTCTGAGGCGGAACCAATCCAAACATAAAGGTTGTCTATTTAAGAGTTTACAAACAGAAAACCAGGAAGAATGTTGTGCACTGATTTTATTTCCCTCCTTAAGTTGGCTAATGTTGGAAAGCACAAACTTGAAAAGTGAAAATAGCTTAACAATTGATTTTACAAGGGAAATGGCATACTTCTGCATTGGTTTTCTAGAGAAGTCTTTCTCTGGATGTTACTACTATTTTCTCTTTTGGTCTCTCAGGCAACCCAACTGATGCAGGTGGGCAGAACACAACCTGGTTGGTCAGTTCATTTAAAAGTTTAGCCAGGCGAATTGGCAAAACAAAAGTTATGTCTCTTAATGCCAGGATAGAAGGACCACAAGAGGCAAAAATCCTCACACAGCATAGTGTCAGTGACCCCATCTTCATTTATTCTCTATAATACCACAGTATAAAGGTCTAGAGAATAAGATATGTTACAATACAGTAATTCTGTTCCCTGGAACAAGGCTACTCAATTCCACCTCCTCTGCAAATGATCCAACCTGTATCCAGTCCAGAGAATCAGACAGGGTCCCCATGACAGCAACATCTCCTTGGTGAACTTGCAGGTTCATCATTAACTAGAAAGGGGAGGAACAAGGAATTTGCTGAGAATTTAAATCCACTGAGAGGAGATTTAGTGAGTGCTAACTGTGCTGGATAGTTAAGAAAGTCATACTCAGAAAATGGTAAAGGGTCTAAAACTAAAGCATCTTGCTTTCTGGAATCACGGGGAAACAAATCCATCAAGATGTGGGCACAGTTAAGTATCCAGTCTGTTTTTCTAGCAGTCTAATTTTCCCTAGTTCCTTCTCCTCTCATTTCAGTCACACCAGCCAATAGGGATGTGCCGGACATGTTACAGGATGTCTTTTCCTGCCTTTTCCTACCCCAGCAGCTTGTGCTTCCAATCCCTATCGACATACTTATACCATTAGATCAAAATGTTGTAGCTGAGAGACCATAGCAACAGAGCAAGTCTTAGAAGCAGCAAGAGAAGCAGGATTCTCCAACAGCCAGTGTTGCTATGCAATGCCAAGAAAGTGCCACACTAAAACAGCACATGCTGCACCACCCAGCTGGCCTGTACAATCATCATGAACTAGCTAAGGTCTGCAGGCAGCTCAAGGGAGGGGCTTGGCCTCTTTGGTCAGCTGCTTAGTTCTCATGATTGTAAACTGAGCTGATGAGAAAGCATATTCTTGCAGCTAGCCCTTTTCCTGGCCTGTACATTTTCCAGGAGCATAAACACTGCAATGGAAAGAGACTGGAAGGGGAATGAAGGGGGAAACGTAGAAGAACAGAGACAGAGACAGAGAGCCAAACTGCAGTAGGGATTTGAAACGTCTTGCACTAGATCCTTCCAAATGCCAAGATCAGGGAGGCTACAGTCTTTAAAAAACCATTATAGTTCCAAGCACTGGATCAAAGGCTGCAGCGATTGCTTAGGAAAATCAGGTTCACATTCACCTGCAGCTACAAAATTCATGGTGTTGCCATCAGTAAATTATGTTTTCAGCTCACAACAACCTTGATGGGCAACAATTTTCTACAAAAAACACCAATAGTGCCTTCTCCACAGAGAAGGGATAAGCAATGCTCTAAAATCCATTCTGCAGTACATGCTATGAAATACTATACCAGTCTCTTCCTAATAACCCCATGCAAAATCCCACAGTGAACTCAGCTGAAATGGTACGTGCTATGAAATACCAGTTTAAAGACAGTCTCTCCCTAATAACCCCGTTCAAAATCCCACAGTGAACTCAGCTGAAATGAAGAACTGAAGGATGTCTATTGATCAAAAAGAATGTTAAGCACAGCAAGTTCCCATTCGTTCTCACTGCCAAGGCTAGAACCAGAGAGATCCAAGATATCTGTGTTGTTGCTCCTCTGCTTTCAAAAGAGATTAGAAGGGGAGCGGGCAAACTGTGGTCCTCTAGATTGGTTAATCTGCAGATGCCATCATTCCTCACCATTGGCTATGCCAGCGAAGACTCAAAGGAGCTGCAGTTTAAAAATACCTGGAGGGCCACAGCTTTCCCAGCCTTGATTCAGCATTCTCCATGGACTTTAAAGTTTACCTTCACAATCAGAACAGCAAGAACTATACTTTAGAAAGCTTAAAAGTTTACGGCATTGGGTTCTACAGCCAATGCCAATTTCAATTATTCATAGAGTGGAATCCAGAATGAGGAAATACACAAACAGTGGTATCTTCTGCTTCCTCTCATTCCCACTACACAAGGCAAACAGATAGCTTGAGCCTACTTTCCCAGAACTCCATTTATTTCTGTTTACTCACTTGATGTTATCATGCCTTAATTGACTAGGAAGAGGTAGACAATGTTTATGCAAAGAAATTCAAGCATCATAATTTGCGCCACTAAAATATCAAACAGTAACATCACACAATCTTCCAAGAGAACATCCTTGGCTCTCCCCTAGACCAGGATGTTACCCAGATTCATTTATTAGCAGGTTATTTAAGTAACTTTTCTTCCAAAACACATGGTCTGTCCCAAATACCTGGGGGGTGGGGGTGGACAGAGCACATACTTTCCATGTACAAGAACCTACATTAAAACCCCATGGTCTCCAGTAAAAGGAACAAATATATTTGAACTGGAAATGGTCTCTACCTGAAATCTTGAAGGAATACCCACAGTTAGAATTGCCAGTACCAGATCTCATGAATCAATTGCCTAATATAGTACAGTGATACAGGGCATACATTTTACAGCACTTAATGTTTCTGCAGTAGAAAATTTCCTGTTTTTGTTGTTGTTCTTTGCTTGTTTGTTTTTAAATATTTCATAAAATTCATCAGTAACACTGAAAGCCAAATTGCTTAAATCTGAAAGTGAACTAACAGGGTAAGTTCTATAGAGGGTGACAATGAAACTGGAAAGGCCTCAATGACCTTAGTGGAAAAGAGTTCCACTGCTGGAAGTACTGTAGACCAGAATGGACCAAAGAATGTCAAACATAACTTGCTAGGCAGGCTAAAATTAGTCTACCAACAATTCTCAGTGGCTTTCCTCCTTAATTTTTATTTTAATAGTAAAGGATGTACATTTTGTTGTAATAATTTAAAAACAATTTATTCTAACAAAAAGCAATTTCTGCATACGTATTTGAATGTATTTGAATGTAATATTTAAAAAAACATTAAGAGTACTTTCTGTTTTCGTCTAATTAAATGGATCAGTTGAAATAATTTGGTTTATTTGATCATTAACCTTTGTTTTTTAAAATAAAAACAAATCATATAAAAAAATTACTCAAGTACAATCTACATAAGAATCTGGAAATTTTTGCAAAACATATCTGGAAAAATTTGCCATAACAATTTTTTTCTAAGAAACCCCCAACATTGGCATAATACAAAGGGGCTCCTTACATCTCGCACCCATTCATTCACCTAACGCCTTCCTCATGATGAGAGGAAAGGAAAACTCATAAGCACAACTGTACCTTGACATCTTGTTCAAGACTGTGGATGAGCTCTCCATCCACCTGGCCAGTCTGTGCCACACGGAGGCTACGTCGCTCAGCTTTCCGGAGACGATACTGCAGGATGCGACAAGTTTTACTGGCTTGGTCTAGTTGCTGCCGGAGCTCCTGTAACTGATAAACATCTTCTTCCATGTAGACATCTCTCATCTCCAGCATCTCAGCACGTAATTCCTCAATCTCATCCTGCAACAGACAACATTATAGTCAAATGGTGAACAGGACAAATGCTACAAAGCTTGCACATAAAATATATTTTGTCCCCTCCCCCACAGAAAAGGAACAAGAGTGGAAGAGGCACTTAATGTATATGTGGGTGTGCGTGTGTGCATGTTTTATTTTAAATATCTAAGATTTTTTAAAAGTTTAACTGATGTATAGCCCCTTCTCTACAAAACAATCTAGGATAGAGGCAATTGTTGTTTTGGACACAATTCATAAGAACTGAACATGAAGTGAGATTCTGCTAATATACAAGTACAGTAGTGCCTCACAAGACAAACGCCTCGCGGGACAAAAAAAATCTGAAATATGAATGGTTTTCTCGATCGCTATGGTGCTTCACAAGATGGCTTCACTGCAAGATGAATGTTTTTTTCGATCACTATGGTGCCTCGCAAGATGGCTTCTTCTATGGCCGTGCTTCACAAGATTTTTTTTTTCCGAGACAGATGCCTCGCAAGACAAAAAAAATTCATTATGAGACAGATGCCTCGCAAGACGAAAACATTTCATTCGTCTTAAGAGGTTCCCATAGGAATACATTGCAATGCATTCCTATAGGAACCTCGCAAGACAAATGAATTTTTTTTGTCTTGCGAGGCATCTGTCTCGGAAAAAAAAAATCTTGTGAAGCACGGCCATAGAAGAAGCCATCTTGCGAGGCACCACTGTATTCCCTGTTTAATATTAAACATTTACTATTTTTCTAAAACAATGGCAACAAAAGGATAATTGCATATTTAATATTTATCATCATTTCAGTTTGAATATAATTTCTTGTTTTGTGCTCATCTGTACATATATGTCATAAGTGGCAAAGCCTGCAACAAATAAGCAAAGATTTCTCTACTAATGCTTTTCTCTCTCTGGATAATTCATACCAAAGACAAAAAAATTAATATATCTTCTACTTTTCTGTCAGAAATTAATTATCACTTCTAAACACATTTTTCATTGAAGTAACTGCCAATAGTCTAGAAATAATTCCAGGACAGCATCAAGAAAAATCCTGCATACTCCTAATTAGAGTGCTACAGCATTCAGAATGACATTTAGACAAACAAGGAATAGGAGAGATTAACAGTCACAAACCAGCAGTGCACAAACAGCACCACTGGAGTCACATGCAGAATTTAGCCATTTACTATGTGCCTGAAGCTAAGGAACACCATTCACTTTCTCTCCTAACCCATAAAGATGACATATGGGGAAGGCGAATACATTTCCCAGCATATACACAAATGAATGGGTGGCCCACTGGATGTAGGCTTTAAGATTTAAATTATGTGCACCCATTTCATAAGGAAAAGATGGTGGGAATTCCATACCTAAGACTGTGAAATCATTTGCACTCTAAAGAATAGTGTCAATGCGGATCCAGCTAATTAGACCATGGAGACTGGAAACAAATGCATTGATCCACTACATGAGAGACTAAGTAAAAGACTGCATAATAAGATAACAAGCTACACTCCACCAGCCATGGGGATCAAGGTTTGTCTTCCGAATCCATAACAAAACTGTCCTTATACCTTCAAGGATGTTAAAGGGTGGCATTCTGCTTCTAGAACTAAGACATCTTTCCCAGATCAGCATGAAGTTTTAGATGATTTCTGCCTCGAAATACCTCCTTTTTTAGACAGCTGGGAAGAGATTCCACACACAGCCTCCAAACTGGCTGGTATAAACCACTAACAGATACCTATATTAAATTATACAAGGCATTTTGCTCAGGAAATCTTTACGGATCATGCATTTCCATAAAATCTGTACTATATGTACACTGAGTATCTATACTATAAATATTCCTCACATCCACTGTGATACAGTTTGTGCACTAGAGCTCTCTAATAAATAATGGAGCCATGGCAGTCTTCTAAAGTGGTATCAAAGCACTGTAACTGTGAAATACCAGTAATCTTTCTCTCCTTGGGTATCTATCTGTCACACCCACAGCTATATATTTCAAATGGAATTCACAGCAAGATCCAGATTTAATTTATTATGCAGCCACCTATCATTTACAGGGGAAAACAGAAGCAAGAGGATACTGAATTTTGTTTCCATCAAGCCCTGCATAACTGTCATTAACAACAAAAATTGTTAACCTTTTCAATACTATCCAGTCAGCAGAGAAAAGCCTACAATAAAGTAGGATCTGAAGCACCTCATGAGTATCAGGCTAAAACTCCCAGAAGTCTTTATCATTAGCTGTGCTGGCAGGATTTCTGAGAATTGTAGTCCAAGAACATCTGGGGACCAAGGTTGGAAGGCAATTGTCTAGACCACTGGTTCTTAACCTTTGTTACTCAGATGTTTTTGGACTGCAACTCCCAGAAGCCTTCACCATGAGCTCTGCTGGCTGGGGTTTCTGGGAGTTGCAGTTCAAAAACACCTGAGTAACAAAGGTTAAGAACCACTGGTCTAGACTCTAGACCAAGAATGGGTAAAGCATGGCCCTCTAGATGTTTTGGACTGCAACTCCACTCATCCTTCACCATTGGCTATATGGTATAAGGCTAATGAAAGTTAGTGAGGCCAAAAACATGAGCACCTGCAAGGGCCTCAAGGAAGTCTTTCCAAGTGTTACAGAATGGGATAGTGAAGAGACAACCCCCCCCCCCAAAAAAAAGCAAGCACTGTGAAAGATAAAAACTAGTAGAGACAAATACTTGATTCTGCTATATGAAGTTCTTTGAGGCCAGATTCAGGCACGCATACCAGCTAACAAAAAATGCACTGGGAAATGATGGGATTTTGTGGTTAATCAAGAATGGGGTTTTCTAGGAAAGGCTTGGTTCAGAGCTTGGAACTATTACCATCATGGGCCATAGTTCTTCTGAGCCCATAGCCAGCATGGTGTCTAGCTCTACATTTGGGAATAAGCATGTCTCAAATGAAAATAGTCATAGCCACCTGACCAAGTTACCTGCATACCCAGACCCTAAGAACAATGAGGTTCATAAATTGTTGTCCAAATACTGGAGCATACATAAACCGCATAACAGCATGCAAATTTCCATTCCTGTTCATTTTGGTGAGGTGCACGCATGCATGCGCGCGCACACACACACACACACACAGAGAGAGAGAGAGAGAGAGAGAGAGAGAGAGCAAAACCATTAAGCTTCCAAGGGTATTCTCTCCTTTTCAGACACATAAAACTAAACCTTCAGCTTTTCTAAATAGCCAGCTGATCTATTTTAACCACTTCAGCAACCAGGACATCATTCTGACTCATTAGGCTCAACCACTGAGACCCTTGACAATCTATTCTAAAAGAATATCTCTAATACCAGAAGGGAGCTCAGTGTGCACCAAGAGCCTACAGCAAGGATGGTCTGAGATATATATTTATTTCTATAAATATTTCATTGGGCGATAAAGAGCAAACTGTGGGTGGAGATGGGATTCTCCTCCATGTACCATTTGGATGGCAGAAACAGCTAAACCAAAAAATGTAGGGCAGCCATAGAGGATATTTCCTAGTGAATAATATGTGTATAAATAGTTTATGAAAGGACAGGGACTGTTCATCTATAAAAGGTAGTCCACAGAAACCTAACATGCCTCAGAAGAGTTTGCAACCTTTGGTCTGCAACAAACAGAAATTGATAGAACTCACTCACAGGGCCAACAAATAAAGTTTTTCAAATAAATTCACTCTAAGCAACTCAAACACAATATATGCTGAAGACTATGCACATTATTGGCAGATCAAGAAATTTCTTGAAATTTCTTAAGAAATTTCAGTATTTGGTTTTATAAACAAATACAGTGATGAACTATTTATGTAAATATCTATGCCTTTTGAAGAATAAACATTTGCAGACGTATTTTGTTTTCATGAGCACTAACAAAGTAGGTTTGGGTTTTTTTCTGCTTTGTCTGACTTCATGGGGAACAAGAACTGGAGTAAAACCCCTTGCTTCCTTTAAAAAGAAAAAGATTTTTTTTTTGAAAAGTCAAAATTACATGAAGAGAAATGTGTACTAACGGGGAACAGTCATCCCTAAGCAGAAAAATCAGAACTGTAAGGAACATAGTATCAGTTTATCTATTGTTGTTTAGTTCTTAAGTTGTCTGACTCTTCATGACCCCATGGATCAGAGCACACCAGGCCCTCCTGTCTTCCACTGCCTCCCAGAGTTTGGTCAAATTCATGTTGGTAGCTTCAATGACACTGTCCAACCATCTTGTCCTCTCTCGTCCTCTTCTTGCCTTCACATTTTCCCAACATCAGGGTCTTTTCCAGGGAGTCTTCTCCTCTCATCAGATGACTGAAGTATTGGAGCCTCAGTTTCAGGATCTGTCCTTCCAGTGAGCACTCAGGGTTGATTTCCTTCAGAATGGATAGGTTTGTTCTCTTTGCAGTCCAGGGGACTCTCAAGAGTCTCCTCCAGCACCACTATTCAGAAGCATCAATTCTTCGGCGGTCAGCCTTCTTTATGGTCCAGCTCTCCATACGAGGTTCTTTAATTGCTCCTCACTTTCTGTCATCAGAGTGGTATCGTCTGCATTTCTGAGGTTACTGATATTTCTTCAGACAATCTTAATTCCAGCTTTGAATTCATCCACTCCTGCCTTTCGCATGATTTATTCTGCATATAAGTTAAATAAGCAGAGAGACAATATACAGTACAGCCTTGTCGTATTCCTTTCCTAATTTTGAACCAATCAGTTTTTCCATATCCAGTTCTAACTGTTGCTTCCTGTCCCCCATATAGATTTCTCAGGAGATAGATAAGGCGATCAGGCACTCCTACAGTATTTCTTTAAGAACTTGCCATAGTTTGCTGTGCTCCATACTCAAAGGCTTTTGCACAGTCAATGAAGCAGAAGTAGATGTTTTTCTGGAACTCTCTGGCTATCTCAATAATTTTGCGCATGTTAGCAATTTGGTCTCTAGTTCCTCTGCCCCTTCGAAATCCAGCTTGTACTTCTGGGATTTCTCGGTCCCCATA